GCCGCCTGATCCCCCCTCCCCACTGAATGGACCGACGGCCTTGTCCGGATAGGGGTCGGAAGAAGGATATGGGTGAACAATTTTAATCGGGCGGCGGCTTGCGCAACCTAGCCAAAACTTTTAATTTTAACAAATAAGTAATATCCAATTACAAGTAAACAGTAAGGTTAAGTCTTTTAACAATATAGGAGCAACGCGAGGAACGGCACCTACGGGGAAATAATGCATGCCGCTGCCACCTGTGGCGAAGCTCGAAAAGCCACATTTCTCTCTCTCTCTCTAATATATATATATATATATATATATATATATATATATATATATATATATATATATATATATATATCAGTGCAACGCCGTACCGTCTGATCTAGATGGAGGTCTCCCGGATGCATATCGCAGTTTTTTTACGCTTCTAGCGCGGTCGATGATGTAAACTCTAAGACACGAATGAAGATCCTCAAATGGCGGACCAACTTGGACATCATGACGAAGTTCCTAACGTGTGAACACGGAGCAGCCGCTATGAGGAAAAGTCCGGACGTGTAACGTTACGCGTAACAAATGACCAAAGCAAAAAAAAAAAAAAAAAAAAAAAAGGACGGCATACACACATTTATTCATTGAAAAGAGAGACCTACGGCTTTGTGCGTGAAGGTTGCCTGATTTACACATTTCGCTTGACCTTGCTCGTGGGATTGCTCCATGCGTGCACTTTCTTTTTCGTCGAAGTAGCCAGCTCTCGATATCGTACTGCGCTTCTTTTACGCCAGACGCGGTGTTATTTGTGTCCGGATGTAGTAAAGAAAACCGCTTACAGGGGCCATAGCTCTATAAGAGCCGTTTGTAAGCACCACAAGCGACTAACACTCCAAATTATCCGGACCCGAACATTTGGCAGAATACTGTTCGCCCTGCATTCGCACATATTCTCTTTTTTTTTTTTTTTTTCACGAGGACGTCGCTGGCACCGTAAACGAGTATTACGACACGCACACAAGCGGGAGAAAGGCGCACCAGGAATAAAATAACAGCAAGAGACCAAACAGACTCGTCGACGCGAGGAGAATTCCGAGGAGTCATAAAAGGGGAGGCGGTACGTACACGAATCGCCAGACGCTCGGCAGCCGGTCGAACGGCTGCGACGTAACGCCGTTTGCTTTGGCGTCAGGTCTCGCCCGCGGACTTCCCTCTCCAGCCTCCTCATCTCACCCCTGTCTGCGCCTCGCTCGGGCCCTACACCGAGCTGCCGAGCTGACAGAAGCCCCCCTTTCTGCTCGACGCGGGTCGGTCGGACCCGGCTGAGTTGCGTCGGCGAGCAGACAAACACACGCCGTCACACGGGGACGCGTAAAGAACGGACTCTATGGAACAAATATTGCGAGAAACTCAGGGAGAGAAGACGAGAGCGCGCGAGGGGCGCCGCGAGCTTTGATTAGAAGGATTCGACGCGAAGACTAGCTGGTGCCTCTCTTCACCGTTGGAACGCGAGGTACTCGCAAACGACACTCTTGTTTCCCCCGATTGGAGAGAGACGCGGCAAAAGCCTTGGCATCTACCCACTAATCCTTCCAATCAGAGCTCGGCGCTCTCATCTCCTCCTCTTTCTCAGTTTCTCATAGTATAGACCATTCCATTTAGCGCTCTCTGGGTGGCACCATTTTGTTCGACCGCAGCGCCTTCTCCACACATCCGGGAAGTTCAGCGGGTTCGGCGGGGTAAAACGAGAGAGAGGGCACGCGCCCGACTCCGCTGGCAGACGACAAAACGGGAGGTTGCCATTCTCCATCTTTGGGCTGTATCGGCAGACTCTACCGAACATCGAACTCTCGCTCGTGGCTGCCGTTGTGAAGTGGTTCGCGTTCTTAGAATAGTTATGGCTACTCCAAAATCAGCCTAGAGCTCTCTGTTGTTCTACTTCGGTAAATGATCAACTGCCATATCTTTTTTCCGTTACTTAAATAGCAGTTGAGTCAGCCGGCAATACTACCCTCAACTACTGCGTGTATTGCGGTAGGAGAGCACGTTTTTATTTATTATTTCAGACATCCACTCATGGTCGCTAAAGGCCTACACCAGTACGAACTTTGTATAGTAAAAAAGGTACAGCCACCGGATTCACTTTTCGCCAAAGAGATCGGCCAATCTGACACAGTTTTCCCTATTTTATTTTTTATTTGCACGCAGATAACAGCGCAATTGGACTCTGTTAGTCTTTTTTATCTAGCATAGTAATACACGATAACTGGCATACCAAAATCTGCGCATCTGCGCTTGAAATTCCGAAAATGACGCGATTTTAAACAGAGTTTGTACGCCAGCCGGATGCTAGGTACTGCCCACTCGGCGTAGCAGACGACATGCGGACGAGAGGGGGAGGGCATTTTTTTCTCTTTTTACCCTCTCTGCTATGACTTAATGAACGGTCTATATGATTCCAGCAAGGTGCAAATTTCGTCCGGTGGAGTTCACTCTACGCGTGGTAACAGAACAGTGCTTGATGACGCCGCCTGGAAAGCGAACATGTCGCCAGGCGAAGTTCGGGTTTGTTCAAGGAGTCCGCTCTTTCGAACGAACCATTTCATTATTTTTCTAAGCATATCCCAGGGCAATTTCTTGAAGTTGATAACACACGGAACGCGCGTTGACCCTTATCTCCACGCTCTAGAAGTTGCGACTGAAATAAGATAAAAGCGAGCTGCTTTTCCGCTTCTCAAACTGCGGCAACAACGAGTGTCGGCGATGTTTTCCGCAGCCACGCGCGGGAGTTGGCAATGCCCTTGGCGCGCGATGAACCTCGCACATTTTCAGGCAGAACTTGCTATTTGAGCGGTGACAAACATTCAACACGGGCAACATGCAGAACCTTCGTCGAGGCATCGATTATAGGGGGCATTCGCGGGACACCATTTTGCTGGACGCTGTTCGCAGCGCACGCCCAGAACGATGCTTGAGGACATCTGTTTCTGGCATTTCAGAAGAAGCGAACACCGCGCGTGCACGGCTTTGATCGGTGCTCAAGGTCCGCGAGCGCACAGGTATCCATAGCTTTGTCTGCACTGCCGGCGAGGAGTGCACGAGAATGCACGTTCAACATCCATTGCACAAAATCAGAATTGTTGTTCTTAAAAAGACAACAAATGGAAATAGTTCTGAGCATGCGCTGTAAACAACGTCCAACAATATGGCGTCCTGTGAATATACCCTATACCTGATCCCCACACGAGCGCGGGCGCATCGCTTTTGTCCGATCCACGAGCCGCATCGGGCGTCATCACTCTAGAGCGCCTTAAGCAGCACCGTAAGACACGAGAATCTCCGTGACATAAGACTACATCATCAAGTTTGGAGAAGTGGAGAGGGACAGAAAAAGTCCCCTTCTATTCGTGAGACCAGAGAGCTGCCGTTTCATTGCAGACACGAAGAGGTCAAGCTGCAGAAATAATATTCTGCTACATCGCTAAAATATTAAAAAAAAACCTGTAGGTAAGGACTTACACACAAAAAATAGGGGAGAGCAGCTAACGGGAGAGAGAACAACGAAGACGCTTATGGTCCAATAGAGTTAAGTGTTACGCCACACTTAACTCTATTGTTACGCCACGCGTAACATTCGTAAAGTGAAGACTTTTCGAAGGTATATGACTCAACCGAAACGTCATCCACTCTTGTCGACTCCAAGGGGTTACACGGTAGTCTTCCGTCCGCTAATTCGTCTAGACTACCTCGGTCTGTTGGCTCAGGAAGGTCCAGTCGAATGACCTTAAAAGCCCATAGACAAGCAAGTGGAAAGTTGTCACACGTCGGCTCACTTCTACAGCAAATGACATGGCTACCACGTTAACGTGAGCTAGCTGGACAAATATCGTTAGGCGCGAAGATAAATGGGATTCGGAAAGGTGACCCGTCAACTAGAGTTCCGTGGTTCCTAACCTCTTCGGCGCATGGGGTTCTTTGCGCCGTAAAATCTACGAATGACGAAGCGTTGCTTAAGTCGAACCCAGTTCGAACAACACTACTAAGGTGAAACACTAGTGCACTACCCGATTCACGCCACGAAAGATTGGCGCACTCTGAGCGACATTTTACGATTGCGTCATAAAAATCGCTTGACGAAGTAGTCGTCCAGTTGTTGAGTTGCGTTGAGATGTCGTCACACACAGCGCGCTGGGCGTTTTGAGGAGGGTCGTGAGCGGCTAACGGAGATTGTGTCGCCTGGCGGGTGCATGCTATTTCGACGGCATTAAATACCTTAAACAAAAAAAACAAAAAAAAATCAGAGATACGGGGAGAGATCTGCGCAGGTTCGTCTCCAGTCACTCAGTGTTTTTATTATTTCGTGTTCAATATTTTTTATTTTATTTTTACGCTTCTTATTTGTTTCACTGAATAACATATGTTGCTCCAGAACAAACGGGCTGATGAGCAATCTGCACAAAACTTAAACGAAAGCATCCGGCAAGAAATATAGGGAAGGGAACTCGAGATAGCCACAAAGATACATGCCAACGACAGTTACCGGACACTAGGGGCTGTACGGCGCAACACACTAGGGAGCAGAAAGCGTGCCGCTTGGGAGTGTGCGACGAAGCGACACGGTTGGCCCGTAACGATGTCGCACGTGCGCACATTTAATCTCCCTAATAGCGTTTCAAAACAGCCTTTTATAATCAGTCTTATCATCGCTCCACGTCCAATGAGATAGTGGGATCAGCCGATAACGAATCCAGAAAAAGAGTGAACACTCTTAAGCTGTCGACGACCACGGCACGATTAGCGAATTGCCGGTAATCGCGAAGTCAAGACGTTCGGGCTCACTGTGTCGCGCAACGCACGCTGACCAGAGGAACGCGCTGCCCGCGTGCTTCGGGACAGGTCAGCCAACGGCAGCGCCTCTGAGCCTGTCCCCGACCAACCCAGGCCTGGAGCGACCAGTAGGGTCCCAGTCGTCGGGGGGTATAAGGACGGAAGGGGTCGAAGGGGAGAAAAGGGGGACTCACCTTTCCTTGCATAATCAAGCGGACAGTGAGAGTGACGGAGGGGCCTTCGAGTGCCTTGGTGTCTACTGCTGCCATGGTGGCTGAGGTGGTGGAGGTGGCGGCGGCGGTGTGAGGGAGGACCGGGCAGGACAGAATGGTGGCTGGCAGCGGAACGGGCACGGGGGAACGCTGCACAGCGGGCACCGGGAACAGAGAAGAGAGAAAGAGAAAGAGACACGTGGGGGATGAGAACAAATTCGGTCCTCTGGCACACAAGAAAGCAAGCTTGGGAGCGGGGAATACACAGCGGGGCACACAGAGCGCGGCCCGCGCCAAGAAGAGAGCCAACCTCCGAGTACCGTCACCCGAAACAACGACTGCAAAATGTCGATGAAGCGCGGGGGGGCGAGAACGACGACGCGAAAGCCGCCGAGTCACGGTGCGTCTACGGAGACGACCGAGGAGAAAGAGAGAGAGCACGACGCAAACGGGGTTGCCACAGTCACGCCCGTCCGTCTCGAGTACGCGACCTTGCGGTTCGACGGCAGCTACCCTGCAAGTGGTGTGTCTCGCTTGGTCGCGGTACTCGAGGGGAACGAGGACTCCGGGCTGCAGCAGCGACTGTCCCCGACTTTCCTGGCGGGAGCGTGCACGCGAATCTCTCCGCCCGGCTCTGGAGCGAGCCTGCGCGGTGTTGGACGGCGCTCGAAACAAGGCCAGGTTCTCGCTCCTTGCACCAGCTGCGCATCTAGGTGAAATCGTAGGTCATCGCCTTATGCCATTGCAAACCCAACAAGGTAGGGAGACGATAACAAACAGTCGCATTTTATCGGTACTCTTTCATAAAGGTGTTCGATGAGCACCTCTACCAATGCGGTAAGCACCCCAAATGCTCTTTTACTACAAATAAAAAAAAGGAAAAAGAAATCGTGCAGTCTTATAGCGCGTTTAGAATCACAACTACCAACTACAATTATCTCGTCCCCAACGATATTTTCGGTCTTGCCCAGTACTCTCACCTCAGGCAAGCATCGAACGCGCGAGCACAGCGGAAACACGATCAAAGGCAGCGAGCTTGGGCGAAAACTAAAGGCGCTTTCCCATTTCCAGCCGGTCAAAAAACACCCAAATATAAAGAAAAATAAATCGCAAGGTGCGGAAGCAAACAGTTACATCTAGAACAAACAGTGTTTTTAAATCTCTTCAGACAATTTGGACGATCAGTCGAGAAATAGAACTGCAATAAAAGCATTAGCAAGGGCTCCTTGCACTGACGTCACATCGCATACTTTTGCACACCAAGTAAAAGGAGGAGAGGGAATCTGCTTTTGTAAGAATTTTGAGTGACAGGTTAATCTTCTATAATCTTCTGGGAGGAGAATAGCGACGCCTGTGCTAATCCGGGAGGCACAAAGGAGGGTTCTGATAAGAGGGGAGCTCCTTCTTCCCCTCTTCTCTGGAGGGTATCGGAAATGACGTCATGTGCAAGGAGCCTATATACTTTCCCGCAAGTTACGTGCAATCTGACCAAAGGCACATGCGCGAGAGCACCTCTAGAAGGTGCTTTACGTGCACGATTACTCGCACACAAAAAAGAGCTTCTAAAGTCACGGACTCGTGCTCGTGCTCCGATAACGGTGTACAAAGCCCTTGGGAAAAAGGAGAGTAATTAGTGGAATGGGGAAAAGTACAAACAAGTCTCTTGTCCCATTTTTTTCTCGTCTGCATTACTCAACCTCTTTTTTTTTCTTTTTGAACGCGAACGCCGAGAAAGAAGAAAAAATGTTGGAAAACTGAGAGACCAGGTAAAAATGAAAAGTCTAAACTTAGAAGATAGGTTATTTCCGTATGCGCACCCACACACACATATACTCAGGCACGCACGCGTACAAAATAATACGAAATACACTGTACTTAACAAAAACATTCGAACAGAAGGGGGCCAAATGAGGCTAATGAAATCGATGTCGACAGCCTCGTGAGACAAGGGACGCTTCGCCACGGGGTAGGAACTGGTCAGCCCTCCCACCGGCGGACTCGTAATTTGGTTAAGAGGGCGTTTAATCAAGTCCATCAATAAGGCGGCCACCTGCGCACCCCTCCCACATACACACACACACTCTAAGCAGATCCGCAAATATTCGCCACTAAGTTTTTTCACCTCGCCTTTGTGGATATATAGCTTTCTGCCATCCCCTATGTCTCCTACCGTACAATGCTACACTGTGTTTTCGGACACCGTAGCCCCCCCCCCCCCCCCCCCCCCCAAAAAAAAAAAAAAAAAAAAAAAGCCTTGGTTCCTTTTTTAAACACGACCCAATAGCTCAGCAGGCAATCAAGGTGCGATAGCACTTGATAGGGTGTTTCATAGGAAATTGACACGACGTAACCTGAGGTCACAGGACGTCGCGGACTCACGTTACATTACGCCACGGCGTCATGTGAGATGACATCGCATAACGTCAGGTCACGTGACATTATAACGTGATGCGGTCAGACCACACAGGAGGAGGAAAGACCCGTGGACGGTTCCCATATAAAATTATCAAAGTGGCAGGCGAAAACTTCATTCTGTGTACAACAAAGAATCACAACACAACTTCATTCTGTGTACAACTAAGACAACAATGGATCCTAGCTGGAGAAGTTTTCCCTCCTACGTTTCCTCCGCCATTTGGTTTCGCCAATCAGACGGCCAACTCGGAACCTAGACCATCACGTGCACGCTTCGACTACAGCGACGGAACGGTTCTTCGTTCCAAGATTCCAAGACGAGGCCCCTGAGGCCCGACAAGAACCACCCTCACAATGCGACCGCATTGTCAGAGAAGCAAACATACCCGAGGAAGCGCACCACGACGCCGATGCTTCGTGAGCCGCATCGATGGATTTGAACAACAGCTGTCCTTCACGCTATGGCCTCTCGCAACGTGACTGTGTAAACTTAGCCGAGAGGCAAACTACCGCGGTAACCCCGCCTCGAGTAAGCCACTCCATTCACACACTTCAAATCACCGTCCAAGTTAAATTTCACGGCGAATGGGCACAATATGACACTCTAGCTGCGACATAGCTGGGGTACGGCAGCAAGAATACATTAAGCGAGCCTTATATACATATATACAGGGTGTTTCTTTTTAAGTAATATATTTGTTTAAAAAAAAAAAAAGCCGTGAAAGCTACACTTGGGCGTTTTGTGCAGCTGGGTTATACGGCCTGGGGGACATAGTATAGGGGGCTAATCGTAACGACAAGTCGGCTAATTAAGAATAATTTATTAATAACTTTGTGATTATGAAAAAAAAAAAAAAACAGTTTAAATTACAAATTTGCTAAGCATAATCGAGAACCTGTACATCAACTCTTTTGAGGAACATATAAGACAGGGGCAGCATTTTACTGCCTTCTGAAAAGCGCTCAATTTGAACGCGTTTCTCAACGAAGAGCAGGACTGCAGGCGCAAAGGTGCGCTCCGATAAGAAACCGAAATTTAGAAACGCGTCTAAATGAAGCGTTTTTACGGAACGCCGTAAAATGCTGCCCCGGCTTTATATCCTTCTAAAAAGAGTTGATTTAGTGGTTTTCGACGACACTCACCAAGTTTCTAACTTGGAACCATATGTCTATTTTCACTAATTAAAAAGTTATTTTTTTTAAAAATTAATTAGCCGACTGAACGTTACAATAAACACCCTATAAAATGTTCCCCTGGCCGTATAACTCACCTGCACAAACCGCATAAGTGTAGCTTTAACGTTTTTTTTTTTTTTTTTTTTTTACAAATCTGTTACACCGTGGAGAAATAGTGCAACCAACCTCTGCTACGCTGCTCTAGCGCAACGCAGCAGAGGCTAGTTGCACTATTTCTCTATTCCCCCTCGATCATCTGCTTCGGAAAAACGCGCGGTGGCTTTGGGGTGGGTGACGATGAACAGTCATTGTTTCACGATCTAAAGATGACACTTCTAAGCTTTCCGGTACTCGCCCATTTTTATCCATCTTTTTTGAAGACATTCCTCCACACAGATGCTAGTGGAAAAGGCGCGGGCGCTGTGCTACTTCAAGAGGACCTAGACGGTGCTCAAAGAGTAATTACCTATGCAAGTCGCAGGCTTACAGAACAAGAAGAGAAATATCATTCCTCTGAACTGGAAGGTTTGGCACTCGTCTGGGCGGTGGAGAAATTTCGTCTGGACCTTTATGATCGCCGTTTTACAGTGGTTACTGGCAATTCAGCTTTAACTGGCCTCAAACCAAACAAAACTTGACCGCGAAGCTTGCACCTTGCGCCGTTATCCTACAAGAATATGACTTCGAAATCATACATCGCAGTAGGCAGGGTCATTAGGATGCAGACATTTTGTCGCGCAACCCGTTAGACGAACACTCTAACGCGTCGGAGCAGGGCACTAATTCCTGCGGCACTACATTCGATTTACGTTACTGTCAAGATCAAGACAGGGAACTGTAAGACATCGTACAGCGGACTGCATCACCTGTTTCAACGGTACTTAAGCAGCGGCTACGTTGAGCATACCGATCCGACAGCAGGCCATCTATAGGCAAAGACAAAACTGTATAGCCAAGCTCGCGGAACGATATTGGTGGCGCGGATTTCGAAAATACGTTTCTCAGTATGTAGCTTTTTGTGAAATGTGCCAACAAGTTAAACTACAAAATAGCACCCCGAACACCGAGATTCATCTCAATCCACAGCCAGAAGCTGCTTTCGAGTTTGTTGGACTGGATCATCAGGGACCATTTCCGAGTTGACAGAAAGGCAACCCTTTCATTACTGTTGTTATTGACCATCTCACAAAAAGGATCGAACTACGTGCTGGTCCATGAGTTCATCGAATTACGTTGTAGAGTTTCTACGGGAACAAATAGTTCTACGTCACGGAGTGCCGCGCGTTATGCTCATCGACCTCGGAACCCCATTCTGCTCTCGACTTTTCCGACATGACCTGGCAGCACGCGCAAACAGCGCCTTACCGGCCTGAAATCAACGGACTTGTTGAGCGTGCTAATCGCACTATCGCTAACATCCTTTACGCGTACGTAAATACATCGCATGACATTCCGGATGTACCATACGCGTCCTTTGCACTATAAACATCGCAACAAGCAAGTACCCGGACCAGCCCATTTAAGCTGGTATACGGTAGAACTCCGGTTCTACCTCAAGA